CAGCATCACAGACTGGGCTTATGGGTTCTCGTTGTTTGTGGTTTGTTATTGTTTCTAGGCCATTTCAGTGGACAGATCTAGGAAGTGTGTGTTTGTGTGCGTGTGTGTGTAAGATTAAACACTTTTTGAGTTCAAATTCATACTTGCAATTTGAATTCAGGACTACAAAGTTAATTAACCTATATTTTAACTGTATTTCCTTTCTTTCATGCCAAATTTTCCATTCTTAAAACACCAGAAAATCCTGTTATTTTTAGTAAAAAACGACAACAAAGGCTCTCTATGACAGTTGGTATTTCAAGAGAAATGAAATATTCAGGTGAAACAGGAAAAACGGTTTTCATCCATACTAATTATTGCCACTGATTAAATGGAAAGATGATAAATTAGCTTCTCATTCAAGGAGAAGCTAATGCTTAGAAACTAAAATGTACTTTGTACCTAGATTCAAGATTCAATATAAGTGGAGGTTGCTCTATGGTGAAAGAAAATAGATGAGTCTATACTTCTTAAGACATTCAAAAACACTTTTCCAAGTTATATTAGAGGCTCATAGGTGTCTGTATTGAGAAAAATAAACACTTTCGATCAGTCCTTTGCAGCCATCCATAACTCAGGCTCTGTGAAAAATGTTTTGTTTCTAGACCTAGATACCCCTGGCATGTTCCATTCCTGTGCGATGACTCTGGGGCATGTTCACCCTGATTGTTCCGAGCCCATGGAAATCTGCAAGTGACAAGGAAAATAAGATCCCAATAGAGCAAGTCAGGTTTATTTTCCTGAAAGTGCCCTGCACATAGTGAGGAGTAGTAAGAAGCCTGTCCCATCAGTAGGCCAATCCATTTTAAGGCTCATCAAAACTCTGAAACGAGCCACCACATAAATAAGGATAAACCCAGTCTAATTTCTGAGAAGCCCTTAGAACATTGACGTATCTCCTCATAATCATGTAAGTAACTGTCATACAAAGTAAAAATGTGACAGTAGATCTTCAAGGAAATGCTGTGGCCACACACAGGAGAGAAACAGGATCAGGGGAATGTGAGAGAGCTCCATGGGACAGGAGCATAATTTTAGGGGAACTCATTCATTCATTTATTCAACTGCTTATTGAATGCCCACCCACTCACTCTGTACCTTGATACTGTCGCACTGTAGGCCCAAATAAATCTGGTTTCAAATCCCGGAGCAAGCCCACTACGTTTGTGGCCTTTGGCAAGTTACTAAGCCTCTGTGCCCTAATTTTTCCATCTGCACAATCAGGCACTAATGCCTGTCTCAAAGAGTTTCTGAAGTTAAACAGGGAAAAGACCATATAAATTGCCTAGCACAGTGCCTGGCAGATACACAGCATTGTAGGAAACTTGCCTAGCCTACCCAAAGAGCTTCACTTTTCTCTGTTATTGGAGAGAAGGAGAGAGAGGGAAGGTGAGAGGGTAGAGGACTTGAGAGATGAGGATGTAAAGGGTTGTTGCAGGGAACTGGAAAGTAAGTAGGCAGACTCAAGTGAAATAATTGTCTAGAGGCACTGAAAAGCCAGCACAAAAAGGTTTGGTCAGGCCGGGCGCGGTGGCTCAAGCCTGTAATCCCAGCACTTTGGGAGGCCGAGACGGGCGGATCACGAAGTCAGGAGATCGAGACTATCCTGGCTAAAACGGTGAAACCCCATCTCTACTAAAAAAATACAAAAAACTAGCCGGGCGAGGTGGCGGGCGCCTGTAGTCCCAGCTACTCGGCAGGCTGAGGCCAGAGAATGGTGTGAACCCGGGAGGCGGAGCTTGCAGTGAGCTGAGATTGGGTCACTGCACTCCAGCCTGGGCGACAGAGCGAGACTCCGTCTCAAAAAAAAAAAAAAAAGGTTTGGTCAATGGGTTTGTTTTTAGGTATTTGAACAGAGAGGTGGACAGTGGAGGTTCTCCCAGCTCACTTAATTTTGCATAGTTAGATAACTTGGTGAATTAGAATTTCTTAATTGACAGAAAGTCTCCCCATTCATGTTTGCAGGAGAGAGTGAGTGGAGTGAGGGTATGGCAGGTAAGGAGAATCTGTCAAAATGTGAGATTCACCACTGAGAATAATCATTTTTCTTCCCCAGTGGGAAGTGAGTTATCAAATTTAAGAACAATTTCTCTGAAAGAAAATTCGCCTCTGCTCTTTCCCACACCCTTACCCTTATTATTTGGCTTTGCAAGCATCCCCACAATATAGGCTTATAAATTTAGTTTATCTCTCCCTTAGCCTGGTCTCCCTTTATTATACCACTTTACTGCTTCTTTGGGGCTGAGACTCTAAAATTTGGGTCAAATGTTCCATTAAGTTAACCACTTTAGAATACCAATACCACTCCTGCAGCACTTTTCATCTTCATAGTGGTTCACAAACATCTCCTTCTTCACTAATGAAGATGAGTCGAATATCTTATAGCATCTAAAACCAAAGCTATTTAATCGTTGTCTGATGTGGGAAAGTGAGACAAAATGCAAGACCAACAAAAAAGTATATTACATTTCAAACTTGCTGATTCAAACTTTTGAAAAATTCTTTGAACATACAGGCAGAACTCATGCCACAAAATCCTGATTTTTGTAATGAAAATGGCCATAAGCATAATAGCAACATCGCAGGGGTATATTTAGCTCTTCATATTTTATAGAGTGTTTTTCAATTCATTATTTCATTTGATCTTCATGAAAACCCATGAGAAGAAAAGGAATTATTATTCGCATATTTTAGACAAGGCCTATTGTGATTAATTCACATCCTCAAGTTTCCAGTTACTAAAGATTTGTGCTGGGACTAGAACCCCAAACTTCATGCTCCAAGTCCTCCACGAGGTTTCCTACCTGTGCTGTGCAGTTTCTGGAGGTTCCACTGGGGCCCCTCAAAGGATGGGGGAACGGAGCAGGAATGTGTGTGTTCCCTCCTCTTTCAACTAGAGCAGCTCCACAAATATATTGTATTCGGGGCTTCCATATGGATATCTCCGGTTCGGTTTTATTGCACAGAGCATGCAGCATCTCCTCTATTGTTCATGATCCAGCTGGACTGTGAGCTGCATTCTGAAGTTACTCAACAGGCCTTCAAAGCTCCACTAATGGCAGGGGCAGTTACATACTATAATTTCTCCCCCTTGCCTGCCCACAACCTTGCATCTATAACACCAGCTAGCTGTTCTCGGCCAGTAGAGCCATCTGATGGATTTTGGATGCACCAACTCTTCCTTGACTTCCTTTTCTTCTATATGAGACATAGCATGTTTCCTCTTTTACCACTGGCCATTTTTACCTTTGAGGCTCTCTGATTCATCACACAGGCCCAGGGAGTTCTTCCAGATCAGAACCGCCTTGCCATGGTGATGCTGGTGCCTAACACACTTGTGCAGCCAGGACTGTTGAAGACACAAACACTCATACACTCATTCTTTAGCAAATGATTCCATTCCTAAAGAGATGCTCTATGTCTTCCTTTGTCTTCTTTCTTCTCACTCGCACTCTTCATTTTCCCTCTCTTTTGTCTTTCCATGAGCATAAAACAATCCGAACATAGATGACAAGCACAATGCCAGTTACTCAGTATCTGAAAACATTGAAGCCATTACTTCTGAAGGGAAATTAAGCAAGATAAATATCAAGTAGCAAGTGACGACATTTTTTAAAGAGCCTTCAGGTACAGAATCATCGCAAGTCTTCAGATGCTTCGTCTATAATCACTCTCTTTTTACAAGCATGCCTTGAAAACTCATGTCTCCTTTTCATCCTTCAAAATTCAGCTCAAATGTCACTTCCTACAAATGTTTTACTGACATCTCTGGTGAGGCTCCATCACCCCTTCTGATGTCTCCTCCAGAACTTCGAACACACCTTTTACTATGGCACTTTACACATTATATTTATTACAATTGCTTGTTTATGTGTCTGTATCTCACACTAAACTAAGAATTGGTTTTGGGTTTGCTTTGCTTCATCCTTTTGTTTCAAGCAGCTAATTATACAACCTAGCTGAGCACATTGCAGATGTACAATTTTTTATTGTTGTTGACGAATGTGAATTTAGTTAATTAAATGATCATCCAGGATTCGAGAAAAAAACAAGCTCATTCTTACTCATTTTAATCTTATTTTTGGAATAGAATTGCTTTCTACTATTCTTCACTGAAATTTGACGTGTTTTTTGTTTTTGTTTTTGTTTTGTTTTTTGCTGTCATATGAGTTGTATAGATTTTGCTGACAAACTTAAGAATCTTAATTTATACATTGTTTCTGTGGAAAAACACATTTTACCTTCTAAAATGTTCAAGCATACACAAAGAAAAAAGTGGAGTTTTGTCCGTGACTAGTATATCACATTTCCCAATATCTCACATATACTATGAATGTGGGAGGCAAAATCTCTGTACTTTGCTTTTCATACAAAAGCCTCTCTCTCTCTCTAATTCTGTTTCTCTCTTCCTTTTCTCTGATGTCTGCCTTGTCCCTGCCCCCAGATCTTTACCTCATTTAGAGAATTCATCTCATTCTCTTCATTCTTCCAAGGTTTACAGTTTGGTTTTCTGTTGTATACTTTATGGTCTACCTTGAATCTGTTATTCACATATTTCCCCCTGTTGAATCCAGTTGTTAGAGGATGAGCACTATGCATTTTTCACTGTTGATTTTTCACAGTGGGATTTTGAAGTATAATATTGAAATATGGGGGATATTTTGGTTCCAGGTAGGAATAGCTCCTAATTCTTCATCATTTGCCATCTGAGCACAAAGCAGACAAGGTCCAAATTTCAGCCTTCACACTCTCTTTTCTCTCTTTCCCATCTTCCATTACTTTCTCCAGAGATGAAGAGAAATGACATAATCAGGTCAATAAGACATTCGTTTTCATCTTGATTGTTCCTGTCTGGGTGCTTAATTATGAGATGTCAATTATTCAACACTCTAAAGAGCAGTCTTCTGAGCACAAAACGTTTTAGTTGTCTTGTATTAAAAGTGCTTGTTTTCTGCTTTCAGGCTACAGTGGTGGCTGTGTTGCCATGCGAGGAAAGCATCCACTTGGTAGCTGGGAAGTGAAGGACTGTCGGCACTTTAAGGCAATGTCCTTGTGCAAGCAGCCAGTTGAAAATCAGGAAACAACAGAGCATGAAGAGAGATGGCCCTTTCACCCCTGCTATTTGGACTGGGAGTCAGAGCCTGGTCTGGCCAGTTGCTTCAAGGTGATACCAAGGTTACATGGGCATTCTTAACAGGACTAACACTATTTTAATTTGATCCATGTATCCCAAATTCCTTTATTCCAGGACTCTTTTTTTTCCAGAACAGTGCCTGACAGACAGCAGGTGCTTAATCAACATTTGTTGCCTGTCTCTATCCTTTCAATCATATTCCAAATAATTTTTAAGTAAAAAAAATCGACACATCCTGGTGATATTGAAGGCTTCCTCATGAAGATTGTTATCTGTTCAGCAGAAATACCATGCACATGGCCAGGCATGGTGGTTCATGCCTGTAATCCCAGCACTTTGGGAGGCCAAGGCAGGCATATCACTTGAGGTCAGGAGTTCCAGACCAGCCTGGCCAACATGATGAAATCCCATCTCTACTAAAAATACAAAAAGTAGCCAGGCGTGGTGGCATGCACCTGTAGTCCCAGCTACTTGGGAGGCTGAGACAGGAGAATCGCTTGAACCCGGGAGGCAGAGGTTGCAGTGAGCCGAGACTGCACCACAGCATTCCATCCTGGGCAACACAGCGAGACTCTGTCTCAAAAAAAAAAAAAAAAAAAAAAAGGAAAGAAAAGAAATACCATTAATCCCTGGAAGGAGGGCACCGTGCTCTGGTTATCACTCCTGGGGGAGAACTCTAAACACCTAACCAGTTTCTGCATAAGTTCCTAGCTCTGACAGGAGGTTTTGCACAAACTTGGCTGCCAGAGTATGAATCTGGTGAGACAGAATTCCCACACAACAAGATGGGCAAAATAACTTTATTACAGGGTGAGTACTCCTTTGCTGAAATGCTTGGAACCAGAAGTGCTTTGGATTTTGGATTTTTTTTTTTATATTTACATAGTACTTACCAGTTGAGCATCCCAAATCTGAAAGTTCAAACTCCAAAATGCTCTAGTGAGCATTTCCTTTGAGTGTCTTGTCACTGCTCCAAAAGTTTTGGATTTTGGAGCACTTTGGAGTTTGGATTTTTGGATTTGAGATGCTCAACTTGTATTCACAGATAGGCAGCAAGAAGCAACCGAAGCCTAGGATCTATGGTGAGCCATTCCCCCAAGGCTCAGGAAAGCACCCCTGGGAAGATGGAATCTTGTCTGCACACGCCCCACTTTGCAGGACAGCTGAGGGCTCCCAAAAGTGCTCCTTTCTGGGTTTTTATCCCAGGTGCCACCTGGATCACTGAGCTAAAGTATTGCAAGACATCCTACTCTAGGAGGGATAAGGACGGTTCCTCCTTATCTCAGGATATTGCCCTCTTGGTACACTCTGCCTGAGAATTACCAAGAAAAGAGGAAGAGCTGGGTCAGCAAGGGTCATCTGGGGACCTGTCCTCCTGCAATATTGTTAATACACCAAGTGAAGGAGGCAGACACTCAGAGGGTGTTAAGTGGTATAATTTCATATTGTTTGTAAACCAACAAATAAAGTTTTTATTATTGAATAATACAATTTTACTAATAAGGATAGCTTTTGCAGCTTGCCAGACACCTGAAGATCAAACAAATTAATGCATACGGTTGATTCGTATGTGTATAATGTGTGTGTGTGTGTGTGTGTGTGTATGTGAAGAAATTTCTATTTTTAAAACCAGCTTTAGATCCTACATTTAAATTAGTTCCTACAATCCTGTCAGAAACACTTTTTTTGAAATATGATTTTTTTAAATGTTTGGTGGTTTTGTTTTGGTTTATTTTACAAATAGGGTTTCACTAAGTCTTGGGAGAAAGTTCCCCAGCAGCTCTGCACGTCAGAGCGGAACGAAGACAGACTCTATCTCCGGAACTGTGGTAGCTTGTACGTGGCATGAAGCAGCTGTGAATGTGCTCGATTTAAGTTGTACACATATATAATCCTACATTACGTTCATAGAATGATAGGCCCAAAAGTGGCCTCACCCAGTAATAAGTTAAACCTTAGAGATCAGTAAACTGAGGCATGTGAAATGTAGTGATTTGCCCAAGATCACAATTATTTATTGACAGAGTTGGAATAAATCCCTAGTTTGGGACTTCCGGTCTGGTGCCTTTTCTACTATATATCACCCTGATATGTCAACAAATGCATGGTGTGTGTGTGTGATAGGCATGGTGGTAGGATTTATGAATTTAGAGTGATTCAGGAAGAGGTTCCCAGAGGAGACAAGTTCTGACATATAATTTAAAAGATGGAAAGGTTGTTCTGTGGTCCACAGGACTTGGAAAGCTATTCATTCTGGTCTCAGCAAATAAGAGCCTGGGGAGGGCTGGCCGCTGGGTGTACCTGTCTGGCCTCAGAGGCTCAGGCTTAGTGCCAGGCAGTTAAAAATAAGAAGGGTACAGAGGACTGGGATTGCAAGCTCTGGGTCTTCAGTCCCTTTCCCCAATCTTAAATAAGCCAACAGAAGACCTTCCATTCAGCTGGCTTCTTCCTGCCACCATGAAGACAGCTGAGAAGCAGCAGAGATTTTAGAGACAGCTGAACCACTGCATCTGCCAGTTCAACTAAGATCCAAAGACTCTAGAAATAGAGCTACCCTAGGTCCCAGGTCTCATTTCTCATTTCTTGCCCTGGGTCAGGCAGAGTAATGATCAGTCTGCTAATTCTAATCTGTCAGAAGGCAGTCTGGTGGGATGGAAGTTTATGGACTCTGGAAGCAAGGAATTGTAGGTCTAATCCTAGCTCTGCCAATTTATAGCTGTGTGACCTAGAATTCTTAACCTCTCTTGGCCTGACTTTATTTATCTATTGACAAATATTTACTGAGGGACAAGTACATGCCAGTCACAGAAGATTTAGGGTGAAAAAAAATTCTTCAAAAAGCTCATTTATAAAACTGAGTTTATTACATTCTCATCAGGAATTTGTTATGAGGATAAAAGGAACTAATAGTTTTATGATGACTAGGCACATTCTAGTTCAGTAAATGTTACTTCCTCCCACTAGATCAAGCTCTTATAAAGAATAATGACAATTATATTAATGTTACTCTTACTTTCTAGAGCAGAGTTTAACAACCTCACCTTATCTATAACAATGTTAATTTATTTTCTTTTACTATACAGGTATTTCATAGTGAAAAAGTTCTGACGAAAAGAACATGGAGAGAAGCTGAAGCGTTTTGCGAAGAATTTGGAGCTCATCTTGCAAGCTTTGCCCATATTGAGGAAGAGAATTTTGTGAATGAGCTCTTACATTCAAAATTTAATTGGTAAATACTTGTTAATTATGAAAACTTACAGTCAAATATTCTATCTCTCAGTAATGGCTTCTGAGGGGTGAGTATCCCAAGTAGTTGTTTAAAATTCCCATATTTGTATTACACCCAAAGCCAAGAAAAATAAATATACATATAGTTTTATATTTATCTTGTACCAGGTTCTAATTTCATAAAACGAAGAACAAAGTGACAATTGTTTAGATATTTGAAATCTTTTCTTTGTGCCTCAAGTCAGAACTGCAGAGCTTTCCTGCCAAACTCAGGAATTATCTACCCCAGTGGTTTTCAAAGTGTTGTGGAAGGATCCCAGGAATCCTGGAACCCCAGGACTATGAGAGGACCATGTAGGCAGAGCTCCTGGTTCCTTCCACGCCTCACCAGAGCAGCTCCAACCAGCTCCACTGCTGATTATTTTGTATATAATGCGATCCTATGTAAGATTTTGTTTGGAAAAAAAAAAAAAAAAAACCGGCCCAGTAATTTTTTTTTAAATTCCAACCCAACCCCCTAAGTTTTCATTTGAGGAAACAAACTTTCTCTTATCTGTATCCACCTTGCAAGTTTACAGAACCTTGAATTCAGTGGAGTTAGAAATTCAAGCTTAAATTGGAAGAACTCTAAACTGTCTTGTGCTACCTCCCACCACATACCGTGGTCATCCGCTGTCTGCATAATTCCTTCCAATTTCAGAATGCTTCTTATTTGAGAGAAAGCCCATTCCATTGCAGAAGGTTGATTTCAAAGAGCAGTTTTCTAATAAGCTAGAAATCTGCCTCCCCTCAATTTGAGCTAGAGCAAATACAGATCAAATCTATGCTATTTTCAAATATTTGAAGACAGTCATCTTGTCCCCTTCCTGTGAACCCCCCACTCCCCACTTTGGCCTCTCACTTTGGAATGTTCTGTCAGTCAGCCTGCACTGTGAGAGTATCTTCTGTGGAAGATACATGCATTACATGCATAGCTGGTTGGAGAACTCAATAGATGTGACAGACAAAATCCTGCCTCTGAGGATGTTGTGATCAGCACAACTCCATGGCTCTGTATATTTATTTAATGAAAACAACTATAATAATAGGTACTCTGCTTCGAGCGCTGGAAGTCTGAAGTCTCAATGAAACACTGGCCTGAATCCCAGAGAAAAATCCCGGACTATTTTTTGAGGAAAATCCTCCTCGCCTTTCCCACAAGTTTCCTTGTAGGACATTCCCATGACAAGATTAACATGCAACATCTATCAAATTATTCATCTTCCACATCTACAACAATGACCTTAAAGCTGGGAGATTTTGACATCTCTCCATGTGAGTCTTGTGCAGCATTCTGCAGGGAAGGAAGGAGATTTTATCGTAAAATATGTTTGCAAAACAATGTACAGTCTTGGAGATTTGCCATGTTCATTAGCATCATAAAGGGTTCTAGAAGGAAGCACTTTCTTTGACCACAAATCCCTTTTTTAAGAACACTTATTGACATCCCACAGAACTGCTAGTCCCTACGGGAAATGCTGACATGAGGCCATGACTCAGGAACCTGGCTTCTCATCACACTTGGTCGGGACGCCTTTTTTACAGAGCTTTCTGGCCTCACACCAGAGCTGCTGAGTCAGACTCTCTGAGTCTGAAGAAAAGTTTAAGAAGCTTCCTGGCTAATTGGATTATCAGCCAGGTCTGAGGCCATAAATCCAAGGAATAGGTGATAGTCTCCATTGTTCAAAGTTACATTTTACTTCATTACTTTAGCTTCCTGCAAAACATATTTGCATATTCTGCCTTTGCATTTTAGTGAGGTTTGCCATATGACAACCACACACAAACTGCTTCCCAGTTTGCTTTAAGATCAAATGTCACTGTCATTTCTGTTTATATAAGTTCTCGTGCTTAAAATGTCTCATAGAATTTAGTCCCAAGCATCTATCATATCATAGTTTTTCAATATCTGATCACAAAAGCCGTATAATATGAGCCAGGCACAGTGGGTCACAGCACTTTGGGACACTAAGGTGGAAGGAACACTTAAGGCCAGGAATTCAAGATCAGCCTAGGCAGCATAGTGAGACTCAGTTTCTACCAAAAAAATTTCACAATTAGCCGGGTGTGGTGGCCACACCTGTAGTCCCAGCAAAACCTAGTTCGAAGTTACAGTGAGGTATGATTTTGCCACTGCACTCCAGCTGGGCAACAGAGCGAGAACCATCTTTAAAGAAAATATTTAAAAATTCTTGACTGGGCTCAGTGACTCACACCTGTAATTGTAGCACTTTGAGAGGCCAAGGCAGATTGCTTGAGCCCAGGAGTTAGGGAACAGCCTAGGCAACATGGTAAAAACCCCATCTCTACAAAAAAAAAAAAAAAAAAAAAAAAAATAGCCAGGTGTAGTGGCACACGTCTGTAGTACCAGCTGAGGAGACTGAGCTGAAGTAGGAGTATCAGTTGAGCCCAGGAAGAGGAGGTTGCAGTGAGCCAAGATTGTGCCACTATACTCCAGCCTGGGTGACAGTGTGACCCTGTCTCAAAAAAAAAAAAATTATCAATAACTGTGTATATTTCACTTTATTCCCAGATTACCAGAGAATTCAGTCAAATCTGATGCTTAATTATAGCAAACATACCAGATCTCATAGTTAGCAGTTATAGCAGGTATGCTGCTTTTCCTTCCTATGGCACTGCTTTTCTATTTCTATTTTATTAGTCAGACATACACACACACACACACACATATGCACATACATGTGTGTTTATTAAATGTTATACAATTTCAGGAAACTGATGAAGAGAAAGTAAATACCATTTCATCTTCCAGGAGCCAGTATATAACAGGAAAGACATAGATCTCTGAATTCAGTGAGGAAAGACAAAGGTCACAACACCAGGAGAGAGACATGGATTTTCAGCCTATGCCATGGAGATTAGTGTGCTTGGCTTTAACAGAAGGTGGCCATTCTCACCTTCTCCCAACCTTAAATGTAAGGTGTCATCATGACAGTGCCCAGCTGGGCACCAGTGACCTCTTGGATTTCTAAGCTGAATTTGCTTTTAATTTGTGTCATCCAGGCAGAGTAGCTGACACATCTGAGAAGGAATTCCTCAGAATAGGTTTGCTTCTCTGCACGAAGGAAAATAAAGTATCTTTCCCGACATCTGAATCTTTTAAATCTTTGATTCTTCAAAATTATTCTCAGAAAATGATCTTAGTGAGATGGTTCATTGCACAATTAGGCTTTATCACTCGATTGATTGAGGACTCTGTGGACACATTTGTACTCTGCCTCATAGAGGGGAAAGTGACTGTCTGTGGAGCTTCTCGCCAAGTCTAAACCAATGGTGATGACTGAAGTTAATCTACCATGGCTCAGGGTGACTGGCTTTAGAATTATTTATGTTGATATCTCAAAAAAAAAAAAAAAAAAAAACCTGTGTACCTTTTATTCAGTGAAGATGATGATGGCTGACTTTCAGAGAATACATGAACGTTTAACAAAAGAACAACAAATCAAAGCATAGTAAAGTAGAATAAATAGTATAGTGAGGCAGTAAACACACAGTAAAGTAGCGAAAGGTCCTCTTGGCTAGAGATGTTCCAAAATTTCTTACCAATTTTCTTTTCATGTGTTCTTGTCCTGACTGAAAGGCTTTGCTATTCCTGATGAGAAACTCATGTTCTCAATAAAAGCTGACTTTTCCCCAATTGTATATCACCTGTGAGCGAACCACACAAACCAAGAGAAATAGAATGTGAGGCTTATTCTTCTCTCAGTTCATGTCATAGCACAGCGTTTTGCACATTTAAAATGTTCATTGCTTGTTGACTTGATCAATCCTGCCAGTAGCATCAGCTGTTTCCTGCATACATAAATATTTTTGAATTTTTTTTAACCTTTCACATAATGCTGTAAATTTGATGGGAAAGGCAAAGCTTTTGTTTCTTCTCTTCACAGGACAGAAGCAAGGCAGTTCTGGATTGGATTTAATAAACGAAACCCACTGAACGCTGGCTCGTGGGAGTGGTCTGATAGAACTCCTGTAAGTCTTTTCGAACTGGAGAAAAGGGATGGATTCCAAACAAGTGGCCCCAGAACCACGTGGTAAACCAAGAGAACCTAGAAATGATGACCAGAGCTCCCATGACAAAACTGCACCAGACCTTGGTACTAGGAGAATTATTTGGCAAGGTCCTGGGAAATGTTTGCTAGCCACATTGTTCTGAGGCCATTGTACAATCTCAGCCTGAAAAAGTATCAAAAACCTCCAAAAAGTCTCCCCAAACCAACCTGAAAAAGAATAAAAAACCTCCAAAAAGTCCCCCCCCCCCAAATCATCTCCCATATGAAGAGTCTCTCTGGCAGAGAAGCAGCTATTCTTTTAAATAACACAACTCCCTTTACCCTGTACCTCCCTATCCTGCATAGCACCTGATGTCTGAGTATGGGAACCTTGTCCATGTCATAATGAAAGGAAGATTATTTTGGAGAATGATTTTTCATTTACCTCACTCTGAAAGGACAGTAATGCAAGTTTTAGAAATATCACCTTCTAGAGCAAGTTGTTCCAGAAGGAAAAAAGTCTTGCTTTTCATTCATTCCCATACTTGCAAACCTCTATGAAGGACAGAGAGAATTCACTATTGCGTTTTTTTTTTTCAGTTGCAATCGGTAATTCTCACATTTTTCTCAAAATGACAGGGAAAAAAACTGAAGTAGTATCCTAGATTGAAGTGGGATCCATCCTACGGCACATGAAAAATCACATTATTCACTTTCACCTGTGAAATGGGGCGACTCCTGAGAGACCGCAGTGAGCACTTCATGCAACTGCTGTCGATTGAGTCCTCATGTTGTTCTGAGCACCGAGCTGAATGCACTCCTACGTGATCTCATTTCATCCTTACAATAACTCAGTGTCATGGGTATTAGAATGATTAAGTGGTTTGCCTAAAATAATACATAGGAGAGCCAGGATTTGCACACAGGTTGTCTGACTCCAAAGTCACAATGCTATAATATCTCATGGTTGGCAAAATATCAGTAGCCAAACTTTGAAGTAGTAAAGAACAATAGAGAAAGCCCCGTACCAAGGTGGTGTTCAAATTAGTGTCAAGGAAGAGGTTTATAGGAGAGAGTAGGAAGAGATTTTAAAGATCATTCAGCCCCACTAATCTATTTTGCTGATAGAGAAACCAAGGCTCGGAAAACAGAAAAGGCGTAGCAGGGTCAACTTGCCCCGTAAATGTTAGCCACTACATAGGACAGCTGGGTGGTTCAAGTGAATATAGTACTTGAAAAAGAAAATGTGATACATAGAGGTTGAGAACATTTTCTTTTGTTTTAGTGTAACAAACTCATTAGTAATAGGAGAGAAATAGACAATCTGGGTCAGAATAAATTAGATAAGGCCGTGAAGCAGTGGCTGAGCTTCTCACCAATATCTGCTGAACAAAATGAATTCAAATCACACCATTTTCTGAATCTGAGGCTATACATATTTAAGATAGATGAATTATTGCATGACGGTGTACATGTTTGAGGAAGAACATAAGGGATTTAAAAGCATCCTTTTTTCCCCCAAATTTTTACCCCAATTTTACTTGTCATCCATCCATTCTTCTGTGAGGTAGTCATTAAATAATTGAGAAGGTTGAGTCTTTAATACCCTTGTAATGTGAATTATATGAGTTATGTGGTCGTTCATGGAAAGTGACCTGATAGATTCCTGATTAAAGCTAACTATGGCTCAGAATTTAGTTATTAGAGGCCAAAAACTTAGCATATGTTCAAAGTAATCAAAATCAAAGTTAATACCAAGATCTGGCACACCCTTGAGTCCCTAAGTCTACCCAGGATCCCAAGGCTAGAAAATGTTCCCAGTTGGAAAAAAGTGCAAAAAAAAAGCTTGCGTTTCATTTGTTCCTTCTGGAGAAAGGAGTAGCGTACCTTTTTTTATTTTTCTTTTATCTATTTATTTATTTATTTATTTATTTATTTATTTAAGACGGAGTCTTGTTCTGTCACCCAGGATGGAGTGCGGTGGCTCGATCTCTGTTCACTGCAAGCTCCGCCTCCCAGGTTCACACCACTCTTCTGCCTCAGCCTCCCCGAGTAGCTAGGACTACAGGCGCCCGCCACCACGCCCAGCTAATTTTTTGTTTTTGTATTTTTAGTAGAGACGGGTTTTCACCGTGTTAGCCAGGATGGTCTCAATCTCCTGACCTTGTGATCCGCCCGCCTCGGCCTCCCGAAGTGCTGGGATTACAGGCGTTAGACACCACGTCCGGCTTTTTTTTTTTTTTTTAAGCATCTTTAAATTTAAAAAGCTAAATATTGATTAGCTTGTTCTTCACAAATGTGAAATAACCTTCAACTAGAATGACATCCAGACATTTCTGAAGCTTCCTGTAGAAGCCTATAATGCTTATGTACTGGGATGCCCTTTTTGATCTTTTGAAACTTTGTGGGGGAATCATCATTAAGAAATAATGAACTTCATCTGCTGCAGGTTGTCTCTTCGTTTTTAGACAATAATTATTTTGGAGAAGATGCAAGAAACTGTGCTGTTTATAAGGCAAACAAAACGTTGCTGCCCTTACACTGTGGTTCCAAGCGTGAATGGATATGCAAAATCCCAAGAGGTAAAAATATAATAAGATCTTTGCTATGTGTTTGATTTCTAATAATCTCTAGTACTTTCTCAGTTTAAACACCCCAAACCACAATATCAACAACCTGCATGATAAACTAAATTACACTATTTTAGCAAAAAATGTTTCTATACGAAATGAGAAAAAGCGACACCAATGCAGGATGCCAAGGTAGTTCACTGGGAACTGAGGTAACCAGCTAATATTCCAGAACATTTATAATGCAAGTATAGTCCGGGAGAAATGTCACTTTGACATTACAAAGTAAACGGAATTACTTGCACAATGAGTCAGTGGAAGCACCTAGTACAGTGTGTGACACACAGTGGCCTCAGCAAGTGCTCATGTCCTTCGTTCTTTAATCAGAAGCCTCTCTGGAGCCTCCTCTTCAAGTGTGAGAACTCACCACATATTCCAAACAGCACAATGTACCTGTTTTAAAGTGATATTTTAAAAGATGAAGGACAAAATAATGTGTTTAGAGCTGAAGTAATTCACAGACAATGCACTTGAGAAGCAAGATCAGTCAAAGTGATTTGCTTTCACTTTGCAGATGTCAAACCCAAGATTCCCTTCTGGTACCAGTACGGTAAGAACGACTCTGCAGCTCTTGAATTTCTAATTATTAATGTATACCATATAAGTGCTACTATATAGCATTAATGTGTTGTTATATTTCTCAAATCAAGCCTCTCTTTTCTTGTGTCAACCTCGAGCTAATTTGTTCAAATTAATAATTAATAAATGTAGTCATTAAATATGGTTAAGGACTAGTATTGTCAATCATTTTTATGACATGTGGTTTTAGAATATGTATCTATCCATGATCTTTTAATCCTGGTGAAGGTATCTTGCAAGAGATAGACCAAGGAAAACAAGCAAGTTATTTATCTATTTATGTGCATGTGTCTGTGTGTGTGCGTGGTGTGTGTGTGTGTGCAAATTTGTGTGTGTGTGTAGATACAATTATGTTTAATGCTGAGTGACCAAATCACAAATTTGGGGTGAATCCTAGCATGCCTATTTATCTTTTCTGCATTATTTTCACTGTTTCTTTTTCTTTCAGATGTACCCTGGCTCTTTTATCAGGATGCAGAATACCTTTTTCATACCTTTGCCTCAGAATGGTCGAATTTTGGGTTTGTCTGTAGCTGGCTGCACAGTGATCTTCTTACAATTCATTCTGCACATGAGCAAGAATTCATCCACAGCAAAATAAAAGCGGTACTTGAACATAACTCACCACGAAAAATTCAGAGTTTAGCACCTTCTTTTGCCCTTAGGACGGAGGGAGGGATGGTTTTCTCGGTTTGACTTCAGATATTTATTTAAATTTCAGTAAAAGCCATAGATTTCAGTAAAACCATAGATTTTTGAGAATTTTTTTTTCTGTTATAGAGATTAAGAGAAAATAATGGAGATACAGATTTACTCTATTGCTCAGTCACTTCCCTCCTCTTCACTCTTTGTTAGCAATAATGGTGAGCATGTCGAGATTGTTTCATGAGGTTCTACAGACCCAAATTCCTATCTTCATGGAGTTTATATTCTCGTCTGGGAAGAAAGACCATAATCAATACGAGTAAATAGAATTATATAATATATTAGAAAAAAAATAAGTGGATAAACACCACAGGGGAAAATTAAGCTCAAATGAGAGATGAGGAATACCCGGGGGGTGCCTGGCAGTTTTAAAGCTTCAAATCTTACAAGAGTACATTATTTTTAAGTTTGTAAAGACTAATATACAGAAAATAGTAAGGAGTAGTTTTCTATTTCAACTTAAGGTAGAGAAAGGCTACTTAATTCCTTGCAGAACTAAGCTAGTAAGAAAGAAACATGCAAGACCTATTAAATAATAAAATAAACTGGCCAAGAATAGTGTACTTGTCAGTGTGTTCCTTCAGTAAGCATTCATTAGCGAGTATGTGTCAGGCACTGGGGTATTTGTCAAAGATGCGAAAATGTATGAGATACAGTCTCTGTTTTTAAAAAGACTGGATATATATACTTTAAAACATCGTGTTGTAGACAATAAATACGTACAATTTTATCTGTCAATTTTTAAAACATAAATTAAATTTAAAAAATAAAGAAGCTGGAAGTGATATGATGTAGTAAATAGAAAGGGCACAGAGAGTACAAATTACAATGGAGGCATGAAGGCAGGAAATCCTCACTCCCAACTTTCCCTTGGAAGCTTTGAAAGCAAGAAAAAGCCATTTTCTTTTCCTGTAATTTAATCATATTTCATGATCTTCAGGAATCCTTTCTAGCCCTATCATCTTTTTATATCTTTGTAAGTTGACCATAAAATGAAGCCCTGTGTTAAAGCATCCTAGACTTGAAAAAGAAATGTCTTTCCTCACAGTTCATGGGGATTTACTGTCTCTGTATCCTGTCTGTTGCACATACAGCCCATGAGGTACGAGCAGGTCAGGACTCCTGCTACATTCTGATGGAGAAGCCGAGAAAAAGAGAAGTTAGATGACAATCATGTGGTCCCACACACACTCAGTGGCAGAACAACTACTAGATCTGGAATGTTCCCCACCATAAATTTGTACACTATTTTGTCACCCTTCCACTCTTACAAATGGAACACTCAGGCCAAAACCATAATGTTCAATATGAGCATGTTCAATTCCATATCATAGTGTCAGAAAATACACATTTCTTTAGCCAGACACCATACTCCTCACCTCAGAGGGCAATAACAAGAGACCAGATGAATGACTGAAAGCTAATCCACAGGCATGCAAAGTATACATCCCAAAAAGAGCTGATATTTGGCCATACTTACCATAACCGTGTCAGGTACTATAATAAGTACTAAAGTGTAATCTTCCCAAGAACCCTCTGTGGGAAGTCTATTATTAGTACATTTTACAAGTGAGGAGGCTAAGACTTCAAAGAGGTTAAGCAACTTGGTTAAGTTACGTGGTGGAATTTGGAAAGAAACCCAGGCCATCTTACTTATCCAGTCATTTAAAAACCCTACACGGTGCTGCCTGTGACAGTGGAACAGCGGTGTCAGCGCATGTAAGAGCACAATGTCTTCATTACATCAAAATGCTAGTTCCAAAATCCTCCCCAAAACATGGCTGCCAGCTTTGTCTCAGACATGAGCAATGAAGGGCTTCTTTGATCTTTCCAACAGAGCTTAGCTCTGCTGGGAACTTCAGTAGATCTTCTGTCTTCACCTTTCCCCTTAATTCATCTCCTAATCTTTGGAAGCTGGGAAGCCAGTGGGGATGGCAGAGTTAATGCCTCCCATAGAAGGCAAGGGTGAAAACCCACAGGCTGAGCAGTTTGATTCATCATAGCCACTGCCATGATCTAGTTGAGGATTCTGATCTCAAATCAGACAAACTTTATGGTGCCTCATATGGCAAAATTGTCACCTGGCCTATGACCGTGTTGATGTAGAATGCCCCATCAGTTTCATGGGTTAGGTGCTGACTAATCTCCCCACTGTGCTACAAAAGAAAATTATGGGAAAGTATAGGATTTGAATACTGAGAACGGGGCCAGGGGGACTGTCCTAGTCTTTTCAGGCTGCTATAACAGAACACTATAGACTACGCAGTTTACAAACAACAGAAAATTATTGCTCACATTTCTGGAGGCTGGAAACTCAAGATCTCGGCATTGGCCGACTTGATACCTGGTGAATGCCCACTTCCTGGTTCATATATATACTTATAGAATGGAAGGGGCAAAGGAACTTTCCAGAGCCCCCTTCTAAGGGCGCTAATCCCATTCATGAGATGCCCCCACGGCCATCATGACCTTATCACCTGCCACTTGCCTTGTAATATATCACCTTGAGAGTTAGGATTTCAATATGTAAATTTTAGGGGGACACAAACATTAAGTCTATAGCATGGTCCAAGGGGAAAAAATATCAAATTGGAAAGAAGAAAGTTGTAGCTTTCCAAGAAATTCTTATTTGTGCATAATTTGTGCCTACCTTGGGCACTTAATGGTGGTGGTGGTGATAGTGGTGTTCACATTTTGTAAGAAAGAAACCCTATACCTAAGAACATCCTACTGGAATGGGTCAATCCAGAAGTTATTTCATTCCATGACGAGGAGCAAGATGTATAGAGATCATTCCACTCACTTCTGTCTCACATCTATCTTATAAATGTAGGAAGAGCACAAATAAATAATTAAATATTTTTAAAGTTACATATGTGCTTTGTATGGCTCCCCTAAAAAGAGCAGTGATTAGAATTGTGAAAAACAAAACTAACATTTAGTTGCAGTGTCAAAAAATTAATTATGAGCAAGAAAGCTAGATACAATTTTAAAAACCCGAAGCAAATAAATTTTAATGAAATGTTTCCATCTTGGAAAAAGAATGTCAATTTTTCTCTCCCACTCTTTGAGTAACAGAAGACCGTAAAGCATAATCAGAGTGAATTTATTTTTTGAGCCATCTTGATAATCACATTAATGCTGAAAAAAAGCTGCAAGCACTTTGGGACTTGTTTGACACAAACTACTAGCTAATTAGTCCACTTGTCTGACATTTTTACACCGTTTTGCAGTATTGTCATTTTGAAATGGTAATTTACCATTATTATTAAATTTTTATTTCTAAATGCTTCTTATAATACATATCAAATCTATTAGTCCTTCTCCAAAATATCATTTTGTCATTCTTGATGGGAGCATTTTAAAAGATGACAGGTTGTTCTTCCTTATATTGCTTTATGGATGAATGTATTGACTGTCACTGTGGGGTTTTGTTTGTTTGTTTTTGGTAAATGCTGTTTCCATATGATGCTAACTATAATGGCTGTTTGTGTATACCAAAACATAGTTGATGTTATAAAATGCATGTTCATATGACATTTTTTAAGCCCTGAGCTTACTTCTCTATCACATTTCTTTATGCAAACGCATATTAATAAGTCTTCTATTGTTGTGGCCTTCCTAAGCTAAAATTTCAAACATCCATTTTCACATTGGATGTTCCATTCTGGATATCTTTTAGTATCTCCTATGAAGTTCAGTTCTGTGCCATATCACAACAGGTTGTGATGTGCCATGTGGAGGTTACCATGCCATAATTGAGATGGTAATAAATATGCCACTTAAGATGCAGCGGTTATAATTCCTCTTTAGAGGTCCTTAATTGGGGCAGAGAACAATCCAGGCCATGATTTCCAGTCCTGTGGCACATGAAACCTCTTTAGATTGAATGATTGAATGAAATTGTTGTGGTTCCCCCACTGAGTTCACAGCCAGTCTCAGTGGACCCATTCCAAAGTCTGACAATGGGAATCTGAATTCAGCCTGTAAGAACACGTCCAGGAAACAACACCTCAGGGATCCAAAACTACAGTTGTTCCATCTTGCATTATTCTCAAATTGCTGATATGACAAACAGCCACACTGTTTACAGAATAAAAATACCTGTTTATAAATTAGATTGTTAGAGGACTATTGGGTTCTGTTGTATGGAGAGCTGAAATTCCTATGGAAAAATAATATCTCTTAACATTTCTTCCCATGTCTTTACAGAAGAAATGAGAGTACAAATTTAAATATATAATGCCTTCAAATTAACAGGATTTTTGCATATAAAAATTAAGTTACAGTTCAACATACACCACCCACACACCCCTCCACCATTAAGTATACTGATTTACAGGTCTTAGAAAAACCCTTACTGCCTCTTCCTCTTTTATAGTTAAAGAGGGAATTGCAATTTCCTGGGTCATAAGTCAGTACATCTGCCCTAATGTGTGTGTGTGTGTGCGTGCACACATGCACATGTGTGCAGATGCATGCACATGGTACTTTAATTTTATACTTTATTGTACTTAGGTCCAAGTGATTAATAATGGTGTAAAATTAATAAAATGTAAAAGGATTATTTTCCTTTTGTTATTGTTGTTCAAGTCTTCTATTTCCTTACTAATTTTTACTACCTTTATTCTGAGCACTACAACATTACTAATACAATCTTAGATTAAATGGGTTTTTTTATTGATGATAACTATATCACTCTGTTAACATAAAACTTATAATCCATTAAAATTCCAATTTTTTGTTAAACAGTTTAATTTTATATAAAAAAGTACATATTTTGAAATGTGTCTATGTTGACACATATAAATCTGGTTCCTTTTTTTATTATTATATTTTAAGTTCTGGGATACATGTGCAGAACATGCAGGTTTGTTACATAGGTATATATGTGCCATGGTAGTTTGCTGCACCCATAAACCCATCATCTACATTAGGTATTTCTCCTAATGCTATCCCTCCCCCAACCCCCTACCCCGCAACAGGCCCCAGTGTGTGATGTTCCCCTCCCTGCGTCCATGTGTTCTCATTGTTCAACTCCCACTTATGAGTGACAACATGTGGTGTTTGGTTTTCTTTTCCTGGGTCAGTTTGCTGAGAATATGGTTTCCAGCTTCATCCATGTCCCTGCAAAGGACATGAATTCATCAAAAGGATAATTTTCTAGTTGTCAAACACTGGGCGTTCTGTAGTATTCTTTTGTCCTATATTGTGTCTCTCTATTTGAATGGGAAGGAAAGCTTATACTGTTTAAAGCTTAGTAATCAGACTAATACCTAAAATCAGTATCTTTACACTAATGATGCCTTGATACCTTAAATTGTTTTTCAAATACATGTGACATATACAATGAATTATAAATCACCGAGAGGGTAAATCACTGAGAGGATAAGCCAATAAATTTTTATCAGAAAATGAATTCATTTTCTAATATTACTTTTTAAATCCTTCTTAGAGAGTTAGAAACACTACTTTTCAAGTTGTATAAAACTAAAATTATTTTCCATGTTTGATTCCAGTTTTTCTTCATAACGAGGAGGGAATATTTTAGAATAATGAAGTTTCAGGTTTTCTCAAGATGCTAGGCCTTAGTATACTCTTCCTTAGATAACTGGGTAAAATACTGAAGAATAGAAAGCCACTAGCAGCAACCCCATTAATCTTAATAGTGAAAAAGGAAAACAAGTAGAATAAATGCTGACTTTTTTTATTTCTTTTAATAGCTATCAAAGTATGGTGCAAGCTGGTGGATTGGACTTCAAGAAGAAAGAGCCAATGATGAATTTCGGTATGAACCTAGATTCATTTGCATTTAATTTTGTTTGACAGGTTTTATTTGCAGAATGATTGGATTCAATTTTAGTGATCAATTTGTTGAACACCCTTCAAACATTAACTTATAAATTTTCACTTCTCTAACAAAGACGTGAGAGGTTTTTAAAGAATACACTTATGAAACCATCACAACAATCTAGCCATAAACTTATCCATCACTTCCAAAAGCTTTCTCTCCTGCTCTGTTCATTTATTTATTTATTCACTAATTCATTCATTTTTGTGATGAGAACACTAAACATAAAATCTACCCTCTTAGCTGGGTGTGGTGGTTCACACCTGTAATCCCAGCACTTTGGGAGGCCAAGGTGGGCGGATCGCCTGAGCTCAGGAGTTCGACACCAGGCCAACATGGAGAAACGCCGTCTCTACTAAAAATACAAAAATTAGCCGGGCGTGGTGTGATGCATACCTGTAGTCCCAGCTACTTGAGGGGGCTAAGGCAGGAGAATCGCTTGAACCCAAGAGGCAGAGGCTGCAGTGAGCCAAGATCGTGCCACTGCACTCAGCCTGGGTGACAGAGTGAGTCTCCATCTCAAAAAAATATCTACTCCCTTAGAAAAACTTTAAGTATATGATACAATATTGGTAACTATAGGCACTATGCTGCATATGAGTATTTTTTAAATTTAATAGAATATTATATCCTCAATCCCTACCTCACAACGCTAAGAATGATGTTGGAGACTGGACATGCAGAATGAGAGAAGACCTTAACATTTTTAATCTTCCCACAGCTGGAGAGATGGAACACCAGTGATATACCAGAATTGGGACACAGGAAGAGAAAGAACTGTGAATAATCAGAGCCAGAGATGTGGCTTTATTTCTTCTGTAACAGGTTATTTTACTTACCCATTTTTGGGTTTATAATACAAACTGATAATTTTCAGGAGACTTAAAGTCTTTTCCTTGCATCATTTCCATGAGAAGTTTCTGTTTATTTCTCTTTTCATTTGATGTGTTCAGTTTTGTCTGCCATAAGGCTTAAGGATGGACATTTTTTCTGTTCAATCCATGTATTCATGTTCTTGGAAATAATTTACATCTGAATAAGTCCTTCCTCATAAATCAAAACAGCACCAGAAATGGGCCCAATAAAACTGTTAAAAAAAAAATGCCTGACAAATACTTTTCCCTATGACATTTCAATGGAAGCACTTAAAAAAAAATCTATTCCTATATGCAATTTATAATGGGCCAGAACTTTAACATCTGTGAAATTTACTTCCATTGTCCTATTTAATAAATGTTTTGATTCAAGTCAATATTCTTTTTTTCTTTTAATACCTGGCATCAATCGTTGCCTGCTTTAGAATGGCAACTGTTTGCAAGTTGGATTTAGAAGCACATTTAGGTTGAAGATTGGTTTTTTTAATTCTCTTCGTCAGTGCAGTGTAGTTAGGTTGATTGTCCACTCATTCCCCTTCTTTCTAACCATAAAAGATAATGATATCTGTTACTCTAACAGATTCATAACTAACCTGTGCCCCAGACCAGGAGAGGGATAAACATGGAAAATAATTTTGGGTGTGAGAGCCTCTGCAGAGAGTTAGGAAAGGAAAATCCATGTGGTTAATCAGCTTGCTTTTACCAGCAGGTGTCACAACAGCCTACAGAAAGGACTGTTTTGAGAGTCTGGGAGAATAGCAGCTAATCTGCATTGAAAATAGCATTCCAGCCCCTCCTTCAAAATGCCAACATCTTTTGGACTCATATTCCTGATCTAGAAAACTGAGCCTGCCCTTGCAATTGGCATGCATTCTGCCCTGTTCTGGAATTTATGACTTGGATGCCAATACAATGCATTCTATAATCTTTATTCTGAAAATATAGCTCTTCTAAATTTAAAAAAAAAAAGCAGTCAGTTTGTCGGAGGCTGAGGATTTGAGGATATATCTTACTGAAGACAAGTCTATATGTGAGTCTGTTTTATTTAAGAGTCAGTGTTAAGAAATGCTATTTTCTTGGAAGTTCTTGAGTTAATTTTTCTAAATTATTATATTTTCTAAAGAATTATAAAGTAGAAATTATCTACTGTTTTAGAATCTTTTTCCTCTCTGTACATTGAAGTTGAAGGTTTTAAAATGAAATTGTTACCCTACGAAGTATTCTTTTGCTACACAAGTCAAATACTCTTAAGATTTTAATCAGTTGTATGATTCAAATTGCAGTATTTATTTAGATTGTTTTAATTTGTAAAATTTCTACATTCTTAAATTAAAATTACTGATTTGGCCCCTTGCCCAGTTAACTGTTGTCCCTAGAGAAATCGGTCATCAGTAGTTTAGTTCAGTTTCTAGATTTTAAAAAATAAATTATGAAAAACCACAGCAGTCATAAAAATAGCGATCAATAGAGAATGCCTTCAAAGAATTGCCGTTGTTCCTAAACGATTTCTAACCCATTTCCTCCTCCAGGACTCTGGGGTAGTGAAGAGTGTTCAGTTTCTATGCCTAGTATCTGTAAGCGAAAAAAGGTTTGGCTCATAGAGAAAAAGAAAGATACACCGAAACAACATGGAACGTGTCCCAAAGGATGGCTATATTTTAACTATAAGGTAAGCTTGCTTTTCAAAAGTTGCCTTTGTTTCACTTTTGTAGACACTAATTTTGGAAAGTGTTCAAAAAGTAGAAGTGGCTTTTAAAAGCTATGAGTTGACCATAGGACCTGGAATGTTTTTGTCACAATTTTCAAGAAATTTTTCAAGAAATTTGAGTTTTCCATTTAGTAACAAATCTTTTGGAACAAAAAATTTTTGTCAAAAACAGCCTGGATCCTGCCCCTCATTTCTATACTCAGTTTTACCATTGGCATAGCCATTTATTGTGCTGTATGAATGTTCCATTAGGTGTGACATATGTATGTATGCATGTGTGTGTGCGCTCATGTGTGTGCGTGTGTGTGCACATGTGTATGTATGTGCCTACATGCCTGTGTGTCTAGGTTCTGCTCCCAAATAAGCTGTAAATTTCAGAGGACCCAGACTCCAACTCCTACTCTTGTGTTTTCCCTGCCTGGAGCTGGCATACAGCTCTGCCCACTAGTGAATTGAGGGACTAATAACTTAGCTTGGTCAATGTCATCTGGAGCCTCATAAAGCTGGTGCTTCCATGCAGATTTGAATTAAGAAAATGAAATTGCCAGTGGGGATATTTTAAACCAGATTTATTATTTCTGATGCTGCCTTCAATTAAGGCCTAGACTTTCCCTCCACTCCTCATATTTTATAATAAAATAACTTTGTAGGCCTTAGGTGGAAGTAATTAAAATGCATCCCAAATTATAATTGTTTAACTCTTAGAAAATTAAAAAACCCAAACTGTGTCATCATTTCATATGCTAATATGAAATTCCTCTTCAACTGTGGACAGCCAATTTTTAATCTAAGTGTTCAGTTATACTGGCAGGGCTTTCTCTCCTTTGTGATCTTCCTCTCATTGTTAATTTGAGAAATGAGGCCGCTTGGATTTTTCACACATCCATTGAGTACCCACTAGATATTGTGGCACTGATTTTTAATTTTTTTAATTTCTGGTAAATACAATATAGAATTCACCATTCTAACCATTTTTGTTTACTGTTTACTAGTGTTAAGTGTCATATACTCACACTGTCATTCAAAAAATCTCCAGGCCTTTTCCATCTTGCAAAACTGAAACTCTACCCATTAAGCGACTCCCTGTTCTTCCTACCCCGAACCCCTCGGCAACTACTGTTCTACTTTCTGTGTCTTTGAATTTGACTACTTTAAATACCTCATGTAAGTGGAATCAGACAGTATTTGCCTTTTTGTGACTGGCTTATTTCACTTAGCGTAATGCCCTCAAGGTTCATCAACACTGGCATGTGACAGGACTTCCTTTTGACAATATTCCATTGGATGGATAGACTACATTTTGTTTATCCGTTCATCCATTGGTGGACGTTTGAGTTACTTCCCCTCTTAGCTAATTGATTTTATGTGTATTTCTTGTATCACTGAATTTTAAAAATATGTAGAATTACTATCCTAAATTTACCTATGAGAAAACAGATGCTAACAAAATTGTGTGACTTTTCTGAAACTTCACAGTGAATAAGCATCAGACCAAGACGCACCTTTTGTTTTCTGACCCTGAGTCTGGTGGTCTTGGCACTTGAGGACAGCTACTCCAGAAATGCAAATTAAAACAACAATGAGTGATTTGCCACTACACAGCTACTAGAACGGCCCACATCCATAGCACTGACAACACTACATACTGGCAAGGAAGCCGAACAACAGGAGCTCTCATTCACTCCTGGTGGGAATGCAGAATGGTACGGCCACAGTGGAAGACAGTTTGGCAGTTTCTTACAAAACTAAACATACTTTTACCATTTGATCCAGCAATCACACTCCTTGGTATTTACCCAAAGGAGTTGAAAACTTATTTACACGTAAAAACCTGTCCATGGATATTTATAACATCTTTATTCTTAATTGCCAAAACTTGGAAACAATTAAGATGTCTCTAGTAGGTGAATGAATAAACTGGTACAACCACACAACGGAATATTACTCAGTGCTAAAGAGAAATTAGCTATCAAGCCTTTAAAATACATGGAGGAAACTTTAATTCATATTACTAAGTGAAAGAAGCCAATCTGAAAAGCCTACAATACTGTATGATTCCAACTATATGACATTCTGGAAAAGACAAAACTAGAGAGACAGTAAAAAGATCAGTGGTTGCCAGGTATTGCAGGAGGGAAGGATGAAGTTGTGGAAGATTCTTAGGGCAGTGAAAATTCTCTGTATGATACCACAATGGTGGATGCATGTCATTAGACATTTGTACAAACTCATAGAATGTATAACACAAAGAATGAACCCTAATGTAAACTCTGGACTTTGGTTGGTTATGATGTGTTAATGCAGGTTCATCAATTGTAACAGATGTACCATTCTGGGGTAATGGGATATGTTGATAATGGGGGAGGCTGTGTATGTGTGGATCAGGGAATATATGGGAAATCTCTGTACCTTCCTTTTGTGTGTGTGTGTGTGTGTGTGTGTGACAGACTGTCACTCTGTCACCCAGGCTGGAGTGCAGTGGCATGATCTCGGCTCACTGCAACCTTCACCTCCCAGGTTCAAGTGATTCTCTTGCCTCAGCCTCCCAAGTAGCTGGGGTTACAGGTGCCTGCCAACACGCCTGACTAATTTTTGTATTTTTAGTAGAAACAGGGTTTCACCATGTTGGCCAGGCTGGTCTCGAACTCCTGACCTCAGGTGATCCGCCAGCCTCGGCCTCCCAAAGTTGTGCCTTTACCTTCCTCTTAACTTTGCTGTGAACCTAAAACTGCTGTTTAAAACATGAAGTCTTTAATAATTTTTTTTTTAAACAGGAGTTGCCGTATCAGCTTAGCCTCATGATACAATGAGCTCAGCAGCACTGTGAGGTATTTTCTAGAGTGGTGTAATTGCACTCTAAAACTTTATGATGGTATTGAGGTACACTATTTTTTAATCATTGATACTTTCTGTATACTTCCTATTTTCTGAAACTATAAAATCTTGCTACCAGGTATAAATTATTTTCACATTTCAGTATGAGAAACTTGTAGATAATATTCAATAAGACACTGAGTATTACTAAGTCTTTTATTAAAACCTTTGGCAATTAATTTTTTAAAGCATTTTTATGGTCATAAATAATGTGACACAAAATTTGCCATTTTAACCATTGTCAAGTGTACAATTCAATGGCATTAATTACATGCACAATGTTATACAACCATCATCTCTATTTCCAAAACATTCTCACTATCCCAAACAGAAACTCTGTAACCATTAAGCACTAACTTCCTGTTCCCCATCCCCTGGTAACCTCTAATCTATTCTCTATCTCTATGAATGTGCTTATTCTAGATATTTCATATTAGCAAACTCGTACAATATTTGTCCTTGTGTCTGGCCTATTCGCACGATGTTTTCAAGGTTCGTTTGTGTTTTAGCATATATCAAAATTTCATTCCTTCTTGTGGCTGAATAATATTCCTGTGTGGCACAGGCGTGTGTGTGTGTGTGTGAATATTGCACATTTTGTTTATTCATTCATCTGTTGATGGACACTTGGGTTGTTTTCACCTTTTGACTATTGTGAATAATGCTTCAATGAACATTGGTGTCTAAGTCTCTGTTTGAGTCCCTATTTTCAATTCTTTTGAGTGTATACCTATGAATAGAATTGCTGGATCATATGGTAACTCAGTAGTAAGCTGTTTGAGGAACTGACAAATGTTCTTCCACAGCGACCAAACCATTTTACAATCCTGCTAGCCGTGTGTGAGGGTTTCAATTTCTTCACATCCTTGCCAACACTGGCTATTATATGTCCATCCTAGAGCATGTTAAGTGTTATTTCATTGTGATTTTTATTTGCATTTCTCTATTATCTGATGAAGTTGAGCATCTTTTCATGTGCTTCTTAGCCATTTGTTTATCTTCTTTGGAAAAATGTCTATTAAAGTCCTTTGTCCATTTTTAAATTGGATCATTTGCCTTTTTATTGTTGAGTTATAGGAATGCCTTATATATTCTAAATATTAAACCCCTATCCAATATATGTTTATAAATATTTTCCTTCTTTCTGTAGCTTGTCTTTTAACCTTCTTGATAATGTCCTTTGATGCACAAAAGTTTCCAATTATCTACTTTTTGTTTTGTCACTTGTGCTTTTGGTATCATACTTAAGAATTCACTGCCAAATCCAAGGTCATGAAGATTTGCCCCTGTGTGTTTGTCTAAAAGCTTTATGGTTTTAGCATTTACATTTAGGTTGTTGATCCATTTTGAATTCACTCCAGTATATGACAATTAGTTTTTCACAACTGTTAGAACAAGTGTATCCTGGCGTGGTCTCTAGGGAACAGGCATAAAGGAATGCCTAGCTAATCTCCAAATCACATTTCTGGTACAGATAGTGAACAATCCCAAAGCATGAACACACTGTTCTAGCTACTAACTCATGCCTCCTCTCATGTGTAAAATAGGATTTTTTCATATACTTTAAGTTCTGGGGTACATGTGTAGAACGTGCAATTTTGTTACATGGGTATACACATGCCATGGTGGTTTGCTGCACCCATCAACCCATCATCTACATTAGGTATTTCTCCTAATGTTATCCCTTCCCTAGCCCCCTACCCCCTAACCGTCCCCGGTGTGTGATGTTCTCTTCCCTATGTCCATGTGTTCTCATTGTTCAACTCCCACTAATGAGTGACAACATGCAGTGTTTGGTTTTCTGTTCTTGTGATAGTTTGCTGAGAATGATGGTTTCCAGCTTCATCCATGTCCCTGGAAAGGACATGAGCTCATCCTTTTTTATGGCTGCATAGTATTCCATGGTGTTTATGTGCCACATTTTCTTTATCCAGTCTATCATTGATGGACATTTGGGTTGGTTCCAAGTCTTTGCTATTGTGAATAGTGCTGCAATAAACATACGTGTGCATGTGTCTTTATAGTAGAATTAGTTATAATCTCTTGGGTATATACCCAGTAATGGGATTGCTGGGTCAAATGGTATT